ACACATGAAAACTATCACAGCTTGCATTCCCTTCCATTCCTGTTTTCCCTCAGAACTTCCTAATGCGGTCAAGTGCTTGTGTACATTGATAGAACATGACAGGAAAGGGATTCTGGATGTAGTTTAGTTCTCATTTGGTTGTCCTCTTACATGATTGTGTGATTATTTGCTCATACATGTCGTCTTTCATCAGTGAAATATCATATATCACTTCTGTATATCAGCAACATAGAAGCAGAAAAAGAGAAGTGGAAGGAAAGGAAAGCTGAGCAACATGCACATTTGCTGGTTCCAGATTTCGACAGCAATCCTATACTCCTGGACATTGTCTAGGGAAAGGAGTACCGTAGGATAACTTGGATTCTCATATACAAGGCTGGAGACAAAGCTCTAATCTCAGAGCTGAGAATCTGCACTCTCCTTCTCCAGCTCACTGCAGCACAGAAAAAACAGTGCTCCCTGCCTTTCCAGAATCAAGAAATACATCTCAGAGAGAAGGGTAAAAGGGGAGTTTCAGAGAATGGGGAGGAGAGCTGACCTGGGCTGCGAGGACATGCAGTATCCTGCCAGCACTCAAGTCTTCTCCCCTCCTCCTCTGAAGCACCTGAGCTCAATGGCCAAAAATAGCTGAGCAGAGAAAGACGAAGGTGGAGATTGTCTATTGACCCTCCTCCCACCATGCACTGAGTGTTCATATGTTTCTGAGTTCAAGGGATCACAACAATTAAGAATACAATTGAGAGAAATGCAGCCTTTATTTTAGAATTTCTACACATGCGATTGTAAGGAGGGTAAATTTGCAAGATGGAATCAAGGAAATCTACTCTTCCCTAAAAAATTACCCCTTCAGTAGCTTGTTTTAATACTTATTGTTAAACTGCTAAAGCTGTACTCTTAAGGTTCTGGAAGAGCATATGAAAGGCCATAAAATGCTATGGACCTTGCTATCCATAGGTAGAAAGAGAGAAGCACCTGGAAAGGTTATTCCCCTGGGAGGCAGTGGACTTCATTTCTAGTGGTGTTGTGCTAGGGGTGCAGGGGGCAAAATTAGGATGCTTTGAGATGTATCAGGGCAAGCAAGTTTCCATGGATCCTGGTTTCTCACATACTCCTGGCACACACCCCAACACAATCAGCCTGAGATCTGTCATAGAAAATTCCCCCCTATTGCCTCCAGAACGGAAACCCATCCACCCACTCTCTCTCTCTCCTTCCCCCTTGGCTGATTCAAGCCAGCAAGGCTGCCTCCATCATGCACTTCCCTACCTCCACCCTAGGATTGCTTTGCCCATCTGTCTAAGTAAGTTGCAAGAGGTATATGAAATGTAACTAGACATTGGAGCTGGTGGTGGCAAACTGTTGTATCATGTATGGTGCTTTTTGTCTGAGATATGATCTTAAATAATTCTCACCAGATTGAATGAAAATGAATTGCTTTTCCACTTTGAAGTAATTTCCAAAGGAATTCTGGATGTTGCAAATGATAAATGCTATAATCAGTAAATGAAAAATTAAACCTCAAGAGGGTCAGTTAAAAGGGTTTTTATATTAATCTACTGATTTTTTTTCTCATCTTGGGATGCCAGCTGAGATAATGTTAGCCTTTGATATCTTTATCCATTTATTTTTAAAGCATGTAAATATGCATATGGTTAAAACTAATTGGTCCTTCCAGTTCAAAGGGGAAAATGCAAATAGAAATATTTTAAGGTACATTAAGAGGTACTCGAGAACCACAATAGAGTCTGATTTTCTGATATTCTACTGCTTCTTGAGCAAGGGCGGTAAACACTATTCAGTTGTGCAATTTTCTCAGACAGTTTATTGATCCTTGGTAGTCAGGGGCAGTGATCAGGTAACCTTAATGCTGCCTCCCTGGACATAACTTTCTTCAGTCATGCTGTTTTAGTTATTTATTTGAATTATACTCCTGCCTGCCTGCCAAAAATGGCACTCAAGATGGCTTACAAAAAGCAATTTTAAATAGATAAAATGTGTTAAAGTACAATAACATGTGATAATCACAGAATAAAACCTGCATCTAACCAGTAGACCCACAAACAGTCCAAAGGCCCGTTTGAATACAGAAGTCGTTGCTTGCTGCAGAAGGATAGCAGAGAGGAAAGGAACCTTGCCTTCCTTCAGAAGTGACTTCCAGAGCCTAGGAGTACTCACTGTAAAGACCTTCTCTCACTTCACCACTAAGGTTTCCTCTGATGATGACAATCTTGAAAAAGGGCCTCTGCAGAAGATCTTAAGGAATATATAGAGAAGGCTCATATAGAGAAGGAAGGCTTTCAGGTAGCCTGATCCCCAGCCATATCAGGCTTAAGTAGCTCTGATGCATGTCTTAAAACAGGCTTTTGTCACTTAAAAGCACCTTTCAGAATGTTCCATCTGAACGGTCCATCTGCAGGGCTCCTATAAAAAGAAATTTAAATGACTGATGTGAAAAAAGATCTACATGTTGTTACAAAAACAGAGCTACTTTATGTTTTTCTGAACAGAATATATTGTCTTCTCCATCCATTTTGGGGAAGGCTATGCTGCAGCAACTTATTGCATGAGTGGAGTTTCACAGTGGAAGGGCTGAAGATGTTAGTGACATAAAATTAAAGCTGCAACAGTTAACAAAGTTGCATATTTTTCTTCTTTTTATTGATGCCTCTGATGACTTTGAGCCAAACGACATGTTACATGCAAAGCCATGTAAATGTAAACAATGTTCTTTCCCTTTTTTTGTATGTTTTAGCTTCAAAAGCCACTTCCACAAAGCATAATTGAGAATGATGAAATGTTAGGAAGAAGTGCTTAATCTTTCTCCTGCCAGTTGTATCCCAATTTCAGATTGCCTCTCTTCAATGCACTTTCTAAGTAGTACAGTTCCAAAACGGGCAGGTGCTGGTGAGGGCAGAGAGCAGGAGCAGAGTGTCCACATTCCCTCTGCCTGAAGCTTCTTGGAACCACATGTCCTTGGTGGGCATAGCCAAATTCAAAAGTGGGTGAGGCTTCCTCTCTTTCTCCCTCTCCTGCTCATGCACACACCTTTAACACTAATTAACACACATACAGAGCTGCTTCTCAGGTATTTCCAGAGTACTGTGGGTGCAGAGAGGATTAAAGCCCTTGCAGTCTTTTTCTTACCTTCCCTACTGCTTAGGAAACAGCTGCTCAGTGAGAAAATGGTGCTGGTTCCGCGACTCAACCAGCTGTATGGAGCTGGGCAAGCAAGATGCTCCATTCTTGCCACCCACCCTCAGTGGTTTCATTACTGATTCTGGATATAATACCCAACCAGGCTGGCAAAGCACCTTCCCTCCGCCAATGCTTAGTTTTTCCTTGAGCATCAGATGGGTCAGTGAAACTGCAGAGAGGATCTGTATTTGCTATTGGAGAATGCAAAGGATGTGTAAATTTTGAGGACCAGCTTATTCAAAGTGTTGTAGGTGTCAGGTTAGGCTGAGTTGTCTTCCTTTGCTCGAGACCATCCTGAGGAAGGGTAACTCAGGGCCCCAGTGGAAGCCCTACTCAGGGCCTACTTGGAAGCCCACCAGCTGGAGGTTCATTCTAGTTTGGAAGTTGTCTATTTGGACAACTGCTGCTAATCAGAATGGACAAACCAGTGGCCTGACTTGTTTTCAAGCCGTGTCATGATTACAGATGTTTATTCAGCTCTTTAAACAAATAACCCATTCCTAATTAGTAATATTCATTTACTAATCGAACAACAGGTCAGTCTGTTAGTATGCTGCACCTACTTTGGTTTTGACACAGAATTGAGTTTCAAGAGAAATCGCGTATTTCCCTTACTGCTTTTTCACAGCATAATCTCTAGGAGCTGCTATGCTATAGCGGCATAATGCAGTTATACAAGGGGAAGAAAAAGGTGCTGTGCTTTGCTTTGCTTCTTTGTTTTGTTTTGACTTTTACAAATAATACAAATTTCCTCACTCTTAAAGAAAAACATAAAGCCCTCACCAAGGGATCAGGATATCTAAAGAAGAACTATGTGGTGAGATGATTGGAGTGTTGGACTGGGGACATAGGAGATTCAGGTTTAGTCCCCACTTGACCATGAAGCTCACTGGGTGACTTTGGGCCAGTCACAGACTGTCAACTCAACTTATCTCATAGGGTTGTTGTTAGGAAGATAAAATGGAGATATATAAGCCACCTTGGGTTCCTCAGAAGAAGTAAAAAGGCAGGATATAAATACAGTGCAGCCATTATAATAATGAACTATGAGGCAGGAATAACGAAATGAAGACCTCATGAGGACAAGCTGTAAGGAATACGTGTGGAGGCTTCCCATATTTTAAAGAAGCCTCGCTTACGTGAGGAGAGGCCTGTATTCGCTGCATAGCCTCAGCCACCACTGTCTTTGCCTTCTGTGTGCAAAGTGTGCCTTTGTGGGAAGAGCTTCCTCTCTCCACACACTTCTCAAGCTGAATATGCAGAAGGTGACTAAAGCAACAGTACAGGTAGCCAGAACACAGCCCTCTTTGTCTCATGTTTACTATCCATAAATTCAGAATCCCTAAACATAGCTACACTCGGCAGCCATTCATTGCTGCTGCTGCTGCTGCTGCTATTACTACACCCCACCTTTCTTCCTCTTTCAAGGAACTCAAGGCAGCCCTCAAGATTATTCTCACAGTAACAACCCTGTGAAGATGCTTAGGCTGGCCCAGCATCACCAGTGAGTTTCATGGCCAGGTGGGAAGCAGAACCCATCTCTCCCAGATCCCCACTCCAGCACTCCCATCACCACGCTGTACTGGCTCTGCATTATGCTTTGCTTTCATTCTTGGAGGATTAATAAGCTATGAAATGGCTGTGAGCATGTAATGGAAATGTAGCAGTTTTCTAATTCCAGACCTATTTTATAAACATGTATTTTTCTCTCTCACTGTAAAGCAGCAGTATTATTCATTTGGGGCGTCAGCTGAAATGTTGGTTTCACCTTGAAACTAAAATTGTCAATGTTTTCTGTATTTCAGATGAGAGTCCCTATACTAAATCTGCAAACCAGACAAAACCACCTGAAGGAGCATTGGCTGTAAGGAGACAGAGTATTCCAGGTATATTGCAATTTTTAGTTTGAAATCATTCTTAGACTATTGTTGTTCAGGAGAGATTCTTTGAACTCATTAGTTGAATTCTGCTCTCCTTGTGAAAATCACTACATTTTTTTTCAGACAGGTTATAGTTGCAATTTATGCACCTATACCTATATATCCTTGCCTCACCTGGTGTTCCCCAGGTGTGTTTGATTCCAGCACCTATCATTCCCAGCCAGCCATGGCTATTGGCTGGGAATGGTAGATTTGCAGTCTAACCCATCCAGAGGGCACCTAATGGAAAGGTTAATTGAAATAGGCACTACTTTTAGCTGACTTTAGATCAACAAGCAGCAACTAAGACATCTCTAGGGACTCATACTTCATAGTGACTTTTCATGCTTTCCGTATAACATGAAGCACAGCTCCCCTAAAGTGAAGTCTGTGAGGCTCACAAAGTCTTGACTTCACAAATTAGAGGAAACACAAGCAGAGGAACTGCATGACACTGCTTGTTATGTCCAAAGGTCATTGTATGCAGTACAGCCAATGCTCATTCCCGCAGATTCATTTGTCTTATTGATTATATCATGTTCTGGTTGTGTTTAGAAGTAGAGATGCTTGAGCAGAGCAAAGTGATGGTTCTGCATGCTAACTCAGAGCTCTGCACTGGTTTGAACATAATCAAAATATAATACTCCAGGTTTCACAAACTTTATATGTAATAATGTTCTGCATCCTTAAGATGTCTTATACCAAGTAATTTCTCCATAACTCTGTGTATCAGAGTTAGTCCACATTTTTACTTTCAGAAGCAAACAACAAACAAGAAGGACTTAATAATGTGATCCACTCTTCAGGAGCCTGGCAAAGTGCCTTAAAGTATGTTGCTTTTATTTGGTGATCTAGTTGCTGTCTTCACAGAGCAGAGCAGAGCATGACTGAGGTACACAGCTTGAGCACCTTGTATTGCATGCATTTCTTTCCCACAGAAACATAAGCTGAAGTTATCCTGCACTGGTGCTCTAGCTGTAACTCTTACAACTTTTCAAAGCAAATATTCATATTAATAATAATTTCAGCAAATTAGAGGATGCCTGCAAGTGAGTAAACACAAGCTGATTAAGCCACTTATTTAAATATTTGTTCACTTGTTCCTTTTCTCCTGGTAAGCAGTTCAGATAAGCGAAGCGGGAATGATAGGTTCTGTATTTGTGTATATAGTCATGCTACAGGGACAGCACGACTCCATGCATGTGTCCCTGTGAGCACTTTCCAGATGTGTTCCAATTATATGCTGTCATACTGAGACTGGCTTTGTGTGTGAGCGGCATTCAAAGTAGTCATGGACTCATTACTAAGCACTGGAGGGTTGAGCCATAGGAGACTGACTTCTGAAGCCAAATGAGTGGCAAATTCCATTGCCTAGTCCCACCAAGATGGATACGTGATTCCAGAATTCTGTTCAAAGGTCTGTTCAATAAAGCAGTTGCATTCAGTGTGTTGAACAGAAGCTTCCTACAATCTCAATTGATATACATTATAAGGCAAATGGACCTGTTTTGCAACTCCCCAAAATGCGTAGGTCAAAATGCAGCTATCCTTTGGATTTTGCACTTACCCAGATTTTCTCAACTATGAATCAAAAGCATGTAAAAATGCTTATTTTACGATAAAACACATTTCAATGTGTGTACTTTGAGAGTTTAGAAATTGTTATTTTATGGGAAAGTACATAAAAATCTTTATGGGGAAAAATTACATTTACAGATGATCTTCAAAAATTGAAGACTAATACAAAACTGGGACAAAACAGACTTATGAATGAATATGTGAAAACAGTGAAATGACAGACAGAGCCGTCCATCCCTAGCTGAAACGGCTCAGCAGTCCATCAATAATTCACTCTAGAGTCTCTCTTATGACTGTCATACCTGGACAACCTTACAACAGAGGGATACAAAACATGATCTTATCCCTGTCTTAACCTCTTGCCACAACATTGTATGCTTTGAAGGCAAGAGAAAGAAGTGACTCTTTTATGAGGAATGAGAGACCTTTCATCCAAAACACTGAGACTTCCCTGTCAATTCAGTGCCACTGCCGTTCAAGTTTTTCACTATTGTTGGAACTTCAGTCCAAAGTAACAAAGCAATGAACATACACAACTTTAACTTAAGCACATGTCAGAGTATAATAGGGAAAATCCAATGAGAGGTAGTGGATTTTTTTAGTATAGAACAGGTATAGAGAAGGAGATTTTAATATAGAAAGGACAATATTTTTGCATGATCAGGAAAAGCAGAAAAAGAAACTTACTTTCTGGATTATATAGACCACTCAGTACTTTCATATGATATAAATAAAGCATTAAACTTCCAGATGTTACAGCACTATAAGATTTTGCAACAGAATTCTACCATTTCAGAGTAGCCTTCAGCATTATTACATTTTGTCTTGACATGAATTATATTTTTATGTTTGATAAAATTTCTAACAATGCTAAGAAAACAGAAGATATTTCTCCTGATTTAGGCCAAACCAATTAGCATCCCTTTCTGTCTGACCCAGTCCTGCTGAGAGATGAAAGAAAGATGACAGAGAATCTCAGCAACTCATAGCAATCATCCTTTGCTGTCAAAGGTTATTGAAAACTCTTCATATCTTCTTTGATTTGCCCAAAAGTACATATTCTCTTCCATGGATTCTTCTATGTATTTTCCCTGCAAGATATATAAGGATAGCTTTTATACCAGGGTTAGGAATCCATGGCATCAGAATGCACTCAGACATCTTTCAAAGTGCCACCTCTTTCCTACTTTTTACTATTTAAAAAAATACAAATTTTCTTACTGACAGCTGGGATTGCTTCAAAGCAAACTGTGATCTTCTAGTTCCCCAGTCTGCTTTCCCCATGAATGCCTCTGATGTGAGACTCACCACCACCACCATCAATATTTCCATACCAGCCAATAGTTAAAGCAGGAAGTAAAAATATCAAGTGGCTGCTTTCATCTGAATCATGACCGTTTAGTTCTGGTGCCCAGGGCAGTTTCTTAAATTGCCAAATGTCATAGTCTCAAAACTGTTGTCTGCCTCTACTTTATGCTATCAGTCGAATAATTCATATAGTACACACTCTTGAAACTGATGGGCCATGCTTCGTAGCACTAGTAGCTCGAATGGCTTAGTAGAGATGCTAGAGAGTGAATTTGGTGCCTCATACTTGGTGCAGAGCTATAAGCCCTCATGTATAAATCTCCTATCAATCTTCCCAGGACCCAGTGCTGCCCCACTTCTGTTGTGCTTGCAAATTTGGCTGGAGTCAACACTGATCACTAAAGCACCAATGTTTTATGGGAATGTGTGAAGGAGCCTGAGGTAATTACCCAGAACAGAGAAAGAATTGGCAATATCCCACTTGGGGAAAAAGATGAATTCCCAAGACCTGAGCCATCATAGACTAGAGACATCAAAATAGGCTTAGCTCAGCCCTTTGGACAAAATGGGGTTCTTTTATGGCTGAACAGTGCTAAGATGTTAATAGGATAGTGCTTTGAAGGTCCTAAAGCAGTACACCATGTGCATTCCAGTTCTGTTCCTTATCTTATAGCAGGAGTGTGGAATCTCATGGCTTGACTGGGGCCTCTCAGAGTCCCAGTCTGGATTTCCAGGGCCCTCACATGTCTGTGCCCTCTCTTTAGGCTGCACCTCCTTTCCTTGACCATTGATCGGTTGGTAGTTTGTGGGGGGGGGGGGGAGCATGATTTTCACTATTCAGAACATTGAAATTCTTGTCCTGAGCATTTGTTAGTGGAAGTTGGAGGATGCTGTTATTTTTGATATGTTGGTCCCTCCTCTTTTGCCAACTACTTTAATGTAGCTCCCAAGAGCTTTTGTGAGTTCATTTTCTGGCTAAAAGAGCTTCAACACCTCTGTCTTAGATTCTTCTTGTAAGTTAGTATCATTATTCATTGTATTGCAAATAAAGAGAATAAGGCTAAGAGAGAGTGGATTGCGTAGTAATGTCATGTCACAACTGAAATTCAAACCAAAGTGTTCCTTGTTTAATCTGCTATGCCACACTAGTTTTCAGGCATGAAGTGATATAATTCAGATTGATTTGCAAAGAAGATTGGTAGTATAGCCAGAGATAAAATAATTTTGCCATGATGGTGCTTCCACCAAATATTTCAAATATTATACAGCTTTGTTCACTACATTGCAAAAATATTACTGAATTGAAGAAGATGAAAAAGGCGTAGCTATAAAGATCAGGGATATTATATGTTGTTCCTATGAAGAAGATTTAAGAAATGGTTATTATTCACTTTGGAGAAAGCAGCCACAGGGAGTGGGGTTGCATTTTACAACATCCAGTCATTCATTTATTTAAAAGGATTGTATTCTGCCTTTTTATCAGAAAAAAAGGAATGAGTATGAATGTCATGGAGCTAGCGATTAAACAAAAAGAGTAAAACTCATATGTATGAAGTGAAATTAATTGGATTGAGGTACAGAAGGGGAAAAGGATATACATCTTCATTCAACACATTATTTAATTGTAAAATGAATTTCTAAAGGATGTTGTAATGGCTGCTAATTTACAGTGCAAACTTATAAGTGTTTACTCAGAAGTAAAGCCTACTTGTTTGTTCAGGCTTACTCTAGGGAAGTATGCATAAGATTGCAGTCTTTTTTGGAGGGGTGGTAAATATTTTATACATTTCTGGCTACACTATCTGTGGCTATTATAAATGATAACTGACATAGAACTGCCATATGCAGGAGCTTTTTCATGGCTGTGATTGCTTGCTTGAACTGATTTGTAGCCAATGCAGAAATTTACCTGCCACTGGTAACTGTTTTGCCTGGCAGCATGATGTCTAATTTACATGAAAAGTGAATCTCAGCATCATCTGTGATGTGTACTCAATTTTGAAATGATGAACACACATTATTTTAGGAGTGCAGGAATGACAAAACTGTAAAGTGTTATGACACGTAAAAGTGAAAATGAG